AGGCCATTTAATAGGATTTTATTATGAATATTGTAATCTTGCATAAGGACTGAGTCCACCTATAGACCATTTAATTGATCGGAACTACGACTATGAGAATTTAGCATAAGTACTAAGTGAAAGCCTCTATAAGCCATAAAATAGGATAGTGCTATAGCTTTCAAAAGGGATTTAGCATAAGGACTAATTGAGGCCACCTATGGGCCATTTAATAGGATGGTGCAATTACTGCCTATGGGAATTTAGCATCAGCAATAATGCGGCCACCTATATACCATTTAATAGGATGGCACTATGACTACGGGAATTTAGAATAAGGCCTATCTGAATCCATATATATATATATATATATATATATATATATATATATATATATATATATATATATATATATATATATATATATATATATATATATATATATATATATATTTGTGTGTGTGTGTGTGTGTGTGTGTGTGTGTGTGTGTGTGTGTGTGTGTGTGTGTGTGTGTGTGCCATTTAATAGGATGACGCTATGACCATCAAAGAGAATTTAGCCATCTATAGAAATTAAACATGAGCGTATTGGATACATTGCCACGTAAAGGAATGAAACACTGGTTTTGATCAAGAAATGGAGACAAAATACACTTAATGATAAATAATTACAAGCACAAACATTGTGACCAACAAACATTGTGTAAAAGGTGGGAAATAGCGTACATTGAAACAGACAAACATTGTGACAGATAAACATTGTGAAATACAAACAAGCAAATACCTAAATATTTAAAGACCATGGATATTTTTGCAAGAAGTAATTTTAGCGAGGAGCGATCACACACCTGTTATTGCATAATATCCAGCATACATAGGGAAAGTGGTATTTTGTTCACACACACACACACACACATATATATATATATATATATGCATGTTTGCATGTATGTATGTATGTATGTATGTATGTATGTATGTATGTATGTATGTATGTATGTATGTATGTATGTATGTATGTATGTATGTATGTATGTATGTGCGTACGTATGTAAGCATACCATTCCACTAACACAAAGCTGAGAAGAGGGGTTTGGAGAATGAATGCACCAATAATCACTCCTGAAGAAGGGAAGAACGGTGGGTATCGTTTTGGAATACATGCAAAGATAAAAGACATCAACACACCAAAGATCCACAGTACACAAAGGACGGCAATATATGATTTGCATTATGTTTATATCATCAAGAAGTCTGTGAGTGTGCGTGCTTATATGTTTGCGTGTGCGTGTGCGTGTGCTTGTCTCTGTGGTAGGAATGGTGAGAGGGAAAGGGAAGATATCTGAAATGTACTTGTTAATTTGTTCAGTCTGCGACTTTTAAGATTTGTTTCACACATCGTTGCTTTCCTAATAAACTCTACAGAGAAATACCGTAAATCGTACTTTGACTCTACATAAAGTGGAAAACCGGGAACGAAGCCACTAACTGTGGGTAATTTTTTAATTAACGCAAACCCAGGTTTTGATTCTTTGGGAACGGATGGCAAGACAGGTGATACATGAAACTTTATATATGTAGACAGGCGACCAATCGTTGCAAAACTTAGTACATCCTGTTCTAGTCTCAGCAATTCAGAGTTTGTCTCATTCATCTAATTCATCGCCTGTTGCATCTGTCAAACAGAATACATAATGACGTGTAGTGCGACTTTCTACGGATGTACAAAGTAACATTTTACCATCAGTCATGTCAGAATGTTGGACACTTTCCAGTACAGTATACATGACTGAACCCAGATTTATTGGATTTGTCTTTCTTTGAATCATTTTGAACACAAAATTTTTCTAAATGCGAAGTTAGAATGCGATGATTTCAAACAGAAGATAAATTAGAAAGGTAAGAGTAGATAAATTATACAACGAAATCAGGGGGAAAATGTGTTTTTACAGAAGAGCAAGAAAAACAGAAAATGCAGCATGTCAGTTACTAATCAATAGACTAAATGAAGTGAATAATTGTCTTTGGTAACTGCTTGATAAAAAGATACGATCTATGTATGTATGTATGTATGTATGTATGTATGTATGTATGTATGTATGTATGTATGTATGTATGTATGTATGTATGTATGTATGTATGTATGTATGTATGTATGTATGTATGTATGTATGTATGTATGTGAGTATGCATGCATGCATGTATGTATGTATGTATGTATGTATGTATGTATGTATGTATGTATGTATGTATGTATGTATGTATGTATGTATGTATGTATGTCCGTACGTAAGCTTGTATACATGTACATATGCGTCTGTATGTATGTATGTATGTATGTATGTATGTATGTATGTATGTATGTATGTATGTATGTATGTATGTATGTATGCATGCATGCATGCATGCATGCATGCATGCATGCATGCATGCATGCATGCATGTATGTATGTATGTATGTATGTATGTATGTATGTATGTATGTATGTATGTATGTATGTATTTATGTATGTGAGCGTATGGGATATAAACTTCCATGATTGTAACAAGAATAAATATATAAATGTTACACACCTTAACAAGATAGAAGAGACCTGAGGAGAGGAATCAGAAACATAAAACACAGTTGAATCATTACTCACTTTTATCAGATTCTCGTGAAATAGGAATAACAATTTCAATTGCATCATTTGACAAAACTCCATTTTTATTTTCTTCCCCTGACAATGTCATTTTAGCTTCCTTAGTTTCAATTTCTTAGAGAGAATGGCTTCTTCTTCTTTTTTTCTGAAATTTCTAATTCCCCTTCTTTGTTTTCTTATTGTCCTTTATCTTTTCGTCATGTTTCGGTTTGGACTCTGGGCACGCTGAAGACCATTTTACTTGCTTGAAGAACACACACAATTAATCTTTCCTTTTGTTTCAAAACCAAGTTTTTCCGTTCTATGATGACCTGTTGCATTTCTTTTATGTTATTTTAAAGCCCAATGCTTATTCCCATGACATAAGCAACTAGTGTCTTCACTGCTGTTCCTGAAATGTGTTTTAGTCTCTACAGAGGTCTTGTAAGATGGCTTAAAAGTCTTTCACCATAAGCTTCATCTTTTCTTGCTCTGTCATCTTGATTCATTATAAGTCTCAGTATATATTACACGAAAAATCTACATATCTTATAAAGATCTCTACATATATTGCACGAAAGATCTATACATAGTGCGAAAGAGAGTAGCCTTATCAAATCAGACTTGAACAGACCAGGATTCCAAAGCGATCACAAAACTCCATGGAGAAGCAAGCAACAAAAATGGCGGCGTTCTTTGTCGCCCGTCACTAGAAGAGGAGTAGTAACCGATATCGACACAAACGATTTTGACGAGATGATCCAGTCGTATATAATACCAAGATTGAAACTAGCTCTGTCGCTGCTTAGGATTATTTTATATTCAGTCTTCAAAGTCTCTTCCAGATTATCTTGAACAATAGCGTACAATTATACGGTCAATGTTTTCATAAAATTTAAACCCCAAGTGCCCACAAAGAAAGGTAGCCCTTTATTACAGGTTTGATTGATTCTATGCTGTTCGAGTTAAAAGGACAGAGTCAGGCTGAAGATCGATATTGTTCGTGCATTTCTGTTACGCGTGACACTCTCAAATTTCTTACCTTCTAATAGCGGACAACAACGCAGAGTATTATTAATAAATCACCTCGGTTAAATGAAGTATCCTTAAGAATGACTCTGACCAGTGTATTTGTATAACCCACACCATCGTGGTAGCTAGACTCCATGCAGAGGACACTGATATAACAGAATGGAGGCTATTATGAAGGAATATTAGAGATTCACGCTTGTCCTAACATCCAATAGATGCAGAAACCCTTTTGGAATAAGCAGGAATTTCGGAAGAGACTGCGTGTAGATAGACAGTATAGGATGCATAAAATTCAGGAGTGGTGGCTCTTAGCTAGCCATTAAAAGAACACCACCAAGTCATTGGAGCTTGTGCTTCGAGGACCCGATTTCGTGACCGAGAATATATCCACGTCTTTCAAATTATCAATATCAAAGGATTTCATGTTATAATTATCAAAGATTTCTACAATAACACCTCAAGCAAATCAGTCGACGAATTTTCAGTGTTCGGAAAAGGTTTCTTTTTTATTTTGCTTTACTTATGTGAGACTCAAAACGAATAGGTATAAGATGCCAGAAACGGTGCATGAAAGAAGATTGGTCCTTACGCCGTCGATGGTTTTGATTTGGGGTTTACGAATTTTAACGGATCTCTTTAGCATGGATTGTGTTATCCCGACCGATAACAAAGAAAGCCGTATACAGGGTTAACCATGGAAGACCTGAACAACATAACGTACCAACGACGTCAGATTTGGATACTCGCGGATATGAGGTAGTGGAACTATGAACAAATAAAAAAATGTCGACGCTCTGCCGAAGACTGCGACGTCGCAGACATTCAACCTTTAGATTCTCGCGATGTTTGTTTGGAGGATGTACCAGTGCTACAAGTTTGTTACACGATGTAAATGGACCTAAAGAACAGCAAATTCCATATTTTGCAATATTTTTACGTTGTACCCTTGGTGTCCCCGAATGTTTTGGCAGAACATATAGACCTCGAACACATCCGCTAGTACGAAGGTCTGTTCAGAGGTACTGTTAATCTATGTACCAACTTTTACTATCCGGTGTTACTTCATGTTTGTCATGGAAAACGGTGTTTACATTTTGAGTAAACCATTGCGAATCTGAAGAGGCAGCTTTGACAGGAGTGAGTGTGTGTGTGTGGGGGGGTTAAATTTATTAACGTAGCTTTAACAAAGTTCTCAGTCATATCGCTGTGGTGTCTGCAGTATGAGAGTTTATAGTGATGTCTATCACCGGGGCATCATATCGCACACATATGGAATGGTGTCCCATCCAGTCACATTATCCTAACACTAACATCTTAATGTGAGCGCCAAACGAGGCAGCTGAAATACCGTTTGTATAAGTCTTTGGTATGACTCGGCGGGATTCAAACCTAAGACCTCCCACATCAGAGGCGGACGCTCTGACCACTAGGCCACGACAGAAACATGGGTGAGTGCAAAATTGTTTCAAGTTGTCATGGATACCAATATTCAATGTATACGGAATCTGGCAATACTTACCACAGAATAATCCGCATTTTTTTTATAGATTTTTTAAAATTCCGGTATATTATTACTGACGCTCTATGGGCTGAAAAGTATACAAGAATAACATATCCCTATAGAATTTAATCTCTTCCTTTTAATTCGAACTTCAAACAAATTAAGAACTATAATTCATTCTGGGCTTAAAATGTTTAAAATGAAAATTTTTAGGATAAAATATAATTGAAAAACTTTAAGTTTTTACTTTTAAGAAACACAACTCTCAATCGTTTATTAAAGTTATTAATCAATCCACTGTCTCTCAGTTGTATCTTAAAATCATAAATCGAGTCAACAGCTTTCAGTTGTATTCACAAATCGAACCACATGCAAATTTCAATGCCCTATCTTACACAGAAAATAAACGGAAAAATGATAATTTCCTTTTCAAACTTTTTGTGCAAGTATTATAGTACTGGACAAATAATTTCGTTTATTGAAAAATATCGAAGCTAAATTACTTTGTAGGACAGTGTTAGTCTGTGATTTCACAAAGTGCCAGTTCTACTATGCTATTATTCTTATGTAAATATACCAAATCAGTTTAGTCTATTATATAGGGTCGAATGATATAAATGTATTCATTATTGCCCACAGTATTTCCTAGTCATGGTCTACTTCCATTCGATAATCCACAGTTATTATGAAACTATTAAAATAAAAGCTAACTTCAACCTGTGAACATAACTTTACTGTATACTTTACCACCAGCTATAAAACGTTTTTAGTTTTGATTGATTGTGTACCTACTTGTCGCGGTGCGGTGATGACGTCACAACGATGTATGTACCCAATATTCCATATTTACTCTGCGTGTTTGTGTGTAATTAGTAACAATTTAATACAAAATTATCACTCATACACTTGGCACTAATTGATTTATTAATCGTCTTGATTTTATAATTTATCAAAGCGTGACAGACAATTATATTCACTTTGAGGGAAATACTGTATTTATATGTAAATTAAATACTAGTGCAGCTGTTTATAAATGTATTAATTCTCAAAAACATGTGGTTGTTTTTAACAGAAAACATGTTTGCTTAGATCTTAATTTGTCAAACTTATCGGAACAAGTTCTCAAATTATTATGGTGCGATCCTTGGGTCACCGCCCATCGTCTGTCATCCGTCAACATCTTCATCTTTTCCCCCAAATGATGAATAACTATCCAATTCATTATAAAACAAATATATTCAGAAATATGAAAAGTACATATTTGTTTGTTTAATTTGGCTATATGTAAATCTTCAAGTTCCAAAATTTTAATATCAACATACATCAATTAGATTATATTTCACAGACATATTAATAAAAACAAGTCTGGCTCTGATATTTTCTATGGTAGTAGAACATGGATCCATAACAAAATTAATCTGCACATAAACAGCACTTATCTTAATACGTTAACATCTAGAACAATATCGTTTATATTTATTTCAATTTCCTTTAACTTGTTCAGCATCTAGTACACCAATGTTATAGTCATTTTTAAAATTTTAAAAATGTGATGTGATGTGATTATGATTTTAACGTAGCTTTAACAATTGTTCAGTCATATCGCTAAGATGTCTGCAGTGTGGCAGTTTACAGTGATGTCTAGCACTGGGGCATCATGCCGCAGACATGTAGCATGATGTCCCACCTAGTTACATTATCCTGACATTATCCTGATACCAGGCCGACCAGTCCTAACACTAACCTCTTAATACTAAGCATCAAGCGAGGCAGCTGTTATTACCATTTTTCTAAGTCATTGGTATGACTCTACCGGGTTCGAACCCACAACCTCCCGCATCAGAGGCGGACGCTCTAACCACTAGGTCACCGGAGCTGTTTTAGAAATGTAGCTCAAGTTAAATTATGTCATGTCATCCCTTTCTATTGCATCCTTAATTATTTATTAGGACATTGCTTGGTTTGTGGTCGTCTTTACATTTTTATGACAAGTTATTTTTGTTGACATGTGATGCTTTATCATTTATTTGTATTGTTCCTTGAGGTTGTGTAATTATTTGAAAATCAGATTTAACGTACGTTTTTATAATAATCGAAATCGTCTTCGTCCCAGTTTTTAGTCGCATCCAAGACAAAATGATCGAAATGTGAAAGAACGTTGGGTCCACAAAACATGTGTTTCTTCTGCCCGCAAAGACAATACAGTTCCAACATTAAAAATAGAAGAAAAAAATATCAAGTTTTTGGACGGTTCCTTTTATTTTCTGGTCACGGTGGATGTTCATCCGATCATCTTATTTGTTGACGTATTGCTGACAGTTACGCCGACGATCTAAATCGACAACGATTTGACAAATAGAATATTGTTTCTCACCTGAGAAAATGTGTGAATTTAACAATTTAAATGATTCTTCGTCCACATTGCTCTCACACCTCAAATAATTCACAAATGCTTTTCTTCTCTTTGACTGTTTCATGTCATGTTGTTCGTAATAAGCTTGACCAGCAATTGGAGTCTGCAACTGAAACACGGAATCAATACTTTTCCGTCAGGAACACAAAACAATGGCTTTCTTTTCGCAATATATATGTTGCTTGCAATATCTGAAGCGTAAGTCACATACACGTTCTCTTTTTCATTGATGATGTCTTAAATATCGTGAATGATCTTGATGAGAGGTAATTAAAAAGGGTCGTTAAATTCGGTTTACACTATATTTCAGATTGTCATGGGTGATAGAAAAATCTCAAATGTTCCTAATCTTCACAGGAATAATTTCAGGTTGAACTCGAAGAACATAAATTCAAAAAAGTCTGCAGTTAGGTAACGACTTTCTCTGCAGGTACATATGATTTAAAATTTTTGAATTTGACCATGTAAGTTTATGTTAACATTCTAAATATTCTGGACGTGACCTGCTCGTGGTTTGAATATGGAAATATTCCTCTTGTCTTGCAGAACTTATATTTTTGGACGGTCATGATTCTCTTGGTAGCAGTGATAGTGGTGAGAGATGGTGATGCTTGACTTGGACGGTCAGTGATAGTGGTGACTGATGGTGATACTTGACTTGGACGGTCAAGACTCTCTTGGTAAAAGTGATAGTGGTGACTGATGGTGATCCTTGACTTGGACGGTCATGACTCTCTTGGTAACAGCGATAGTTTTGACTGATGGTGATGCTTGACTTGGACGGTCAGTGATAGTGGTGACTGATGGTGATTCTTGACTTGGACGGTCAAGACTCTCTTGGTAGCAGTAATAGTGGTGACTGATGGTGATGCTTGATTTGAACGGTCATGACTCTCTTGGTAGCAGCGATAGTGGTGAGTGATGATGATGGTTGATCATTTTTGAGCTAACATAACGTTCCTATAACTAATTCAGATTTCAAATGAATACCCTGTCACACACAGTATATACAGAATATCCTCATAGTCAATAAAATGTAGCCACTTCTACCCAGAACCGTGAAGCCTGGTTCGAAAATAAGAGAAAAGATGGCTACTTTTGGACATGGGTCCTTGAATTGTCCACAGCGCAAAATGATAAGTGGAGGCAAATATAAATCAGAATCATGAAAGAATGAAGAAGAAAAAGTGAATTAGAATTCAGAAGAAAATGTCCTCTCTCTCTCTCTCTCTCTCTCTCTCTCTCTCTCTCTCTCTCTCTCTCTCTCTCTCTCTCTCTCTCTCTCTCTCTCTCTGAAATTCCAAGCAAGACTCTAACAAGACATGGTCTTAAGCATGAAGGAAAACATTTTCTGAAATGTTGAGTTTTAAATTAAGTTGGCATTCCTTTTTTCAGAAACCTTCGTTTGCTTAAATTGTAGACAACAGTAGACTTGAACTTAAACTTTTTTTCATTTCGATTACTGTATACACACACATGCTAAAAGATACAAAGAGTGATATCCAATCGGATTAAAATCAGTTCTCCATTATCCTAAGTGAAGATCGGACAGCGACTACTTAAGAGTTAGGCACTGGTGACATGTATTATTACCATAATCACTAACTGCATTTAACCAATTAGACGAAGAGGACCAGTGTGTGCCGAACAATTTAATTCACTTTCAGATTTCTGAAAGCTGCATTTTCATTGGCTAATTGAAAGGTCGCCAGAACATGCCCCCTACGCGATCGCTGTCAGATGTTTGTGTAGGACAGTGTAGATCTGTTTTTAATCAGATTGCAGAGATATCTCAGCAAGGCCGATTTTGATAGTGGGCAACTACAATCTGGCATTTTTTTCAACAAAAAAAATAGCGGTGTATAACATTATGATCGTAATAAGAATTTATTCTTGGATATATCACGCATGGGATTATAATGCCATCATGTTTCCCTTCTTACCACGAAAGAATGGTAAGTTTTGCAAAACATTAACATTGCTGTTTATGAGAATCAAATTTGTTCACTGTGCCTTAAAACAAAAAAGAACATGCAATTTAAAAGGGCCCTGATAAATATATCTAAGAGCTTTCGTGCCTGTTTCATCGGCCAAAATTGGTATTATTTATGGTTAAGAACAAGTTGTCTATTGTTTACGTTCAAAGCACTTTTATTTAGATTACGAGTTTTTATCTTGTATGAAAACTTAACATGATAAATTTTGTCAGCACCGCTATTAGTAATGCTTGTACGTATGAAAAAGTATTTGTCTTTGGTGGAACTAGATGATTGAAAATAGTAACGGTTAGGTTAGACTAAAGTCTAATTATTTTAGATTTTCCTTTACTTTCATCTATTGTCTAAACTTTTGCCTGGTTTTATTACATGTGCCTCCCTCTCCGCCTCTCGTACAATGTCGCAGTTTGTGGAGAAAGTATATTTTTTGTAACTTCTTAGCTTTAATAACTTCTTACAGTTCATGATAATTGTCGTGTGCACAGAGGGACATGATGGTTCCCAGATTTTACTTTCATTTTTTAACAAATCACTGCACGCGCACACCTCTCATATAAACATTTTTTGCCAGACATACCCATATGAAATAATAACGACAAATGTTGCCGATTGTATTACGCACAGTCGATGACGTCGAGAAATGTTTTGAGAAACGAAAAATATTTGGAATATTCAATGTCGACTGCAACCTGACAACCTTGCCGTGATAATGTCCTTCTGCAAAGTACGTCCTAATTCTATGACTATTTTTAAATGAAACAAATATCTGATTTTATGTCACAGACTACATTTCATTAGTAAAGAAACCAGTCGAAGACATATTTAATATCGTATTTACGAGAATGAATTTCACTGATTGGATGAACATAATTAAGGAAAAATACATTTTGTAAAAAAAAATTCAAATAGAGCTTTTGTCTTTAGAGGGAGCCTGCGTATGATTAATTATGCAAGAACTTATCCACGAGACAAACTTTTATAGCACCTACAAGGGAATTGTTCTCAGATACTAAGTAACCGGGGCATCATAAATAGAGCGTTCCTCACAAAACATGGAGTAATCAGCGGGTATATAGTTTCCAAAACACTGTCTAAAAGTACTATCATCAGCTAATCTCTCTCTCTCTCTCTCTCTCTCTCTCTCTCTCTCTCTCTCTCTCTCTCTCTCTCTCTCTCTCTCTCTCTCTCTCTCTCTCTCTCTCTCTCTCTCTCTCTCTCTCTCTCTCTCTCTCTCTCTCTCTCTCTCTCTCTCTCTCTCACACACACACACACACAGACAGGTGCAGTTCATAAAACATGGGATGATTAGCGGGCATGTAGCTTCCAAAACAATGTCCAAAAGTTCTGTCATCAGCTAATCACTCGCACAGGTGCAGTTCATAACGTAACGCAGTGCATAATGCCACTGAGTTTTAACATTCACAACCTTGAAGAACGACCTTCGTATCGAATGGTTAGTATTACATTAAAATTTAGTTTTTACATTATCAAAACCTAACAGAATACAATTTCAGATATGCCAGTGGAAGAAAAAAAAACTTTGCCGTTGAATTTTATATAGATTGTAATTTTGTTTTTTTTTATTTGAAGGTTTATTCTCCTTTACAGATAGAGATTCCAAAAATGCAGATGTACGGACAATTTGTTAGCACCGAAACTAGTAGCTCTTCGCGATCGGAGGCGTTTTTAGAGTTTCAGTAAGTAGTTGTTGTGTTCTTAACATCAATAACATTACAGAATACATAGAAACATATAACTTGTTAACTGACTACCAGTCATAGTAACAACTCGCTTCTTCATCAACATGTATATGAATCAGTTTTTTCTCATCTGCAGGACGCTCGATAATAGGTTTTCGATATGGCAAACTGTAATATAGAATTTGTAATATAAAACTGGAATTTTATAAAAGTACATGTTTAATTTTGCAAGCTGTTAAATATACAGAAGTATAGTCTAGTCTAGAGATCGTGGAAAATAAGTTCACATAACACGTTTTAAAAGGGAGTATTCCATACATGAGGAATTTAATGGCATTTTCTTACGTAGAAGAGAATGAATTCCGCATGGTAAAAAACATGTAGCTAAAAATTTCCTTGAATTCCATGTGTAATGAAACACTAGTTTACCGTGTAAAAATATATGTAGCTAAAGGTTTCTTTCTCTAGGAATTATAGTTTAAACGTTATGGACAAATATTACCTATTTTAAAAGCTAAGTGTCAATTAGTACCCAGCACAAATTTTGATAATGTTTTTTTTTCTTTTTTCTCTCCCGATTTCTGAATAATTAGATTGAATTTCACGCGGATGCGTCTTTAACAAATTGAGACCATATGCATGCTAGAATGTCATCTCAGGACTGTATCATCTACAAGCATGTACTTGTACTCTCTAGACTGTACCGTCTATAGACGATTTAAAACATGTACTTCTCCACTCTGGACTGTATCGTTTATAT